GAGTCGCCCTTGGTGGAGTCCCGCGAGCACCGGCGCCCAGAAGTGCTCGGGATCTGGCGCCGCTTGTCGCCCTCGCAATAATTGAGACTCTCGTGGATGTACACCAACTTGTCGCCCATCCCGGGCAACTTCAATGGCACCTCGTTGCCCAACTTATTCTCACTGGCGCCGTGGTGACTCGTCGGCGACGCCACCTGGCGCCGCTGCGAGGACCGCCTGCGTTTGCTGGTGCTGCGGCTGTCGTCAATATTTTCAGCGTTATTGTTGTTGTTGTTTTTGTTGGTATTTGTCCAGAATGGAGACAACATGGTGCCTCGGCTGCTGCTGTTGCGGACAGCGGGGGCGTCCGACAGTGCCAGCAGGGACGCCGAATTGAGTCCGGCGTGTTTCCGGTTTGTGTTGCCGCGACGGCGGCGTTTCTTGTTCCGAATTCCTCTGCTTTTGAATGGCAACTGCGGAGACAAAGAAAACCAGTGAGATGAAATCTCTGGGGCGATTTTGTTTGAACAATACAGCAGTTTATAAAAAAAACTGACAGCATGATTCTTTGTTTATCTTCAAACCGGAGAGGAGTCTGTGGGATGGAACGAAATCCGTTAAAATCCGGAGTAAAAGTTCAATATTTACGATTATAATCCAGGGTAAAATTTTGCATAATTGGACCTGAACTAGAATTGAAGTCAGAAATATAATACCTTAGTTAGACGTAGACTTGAATTACAGTATAGTCAAATCAAACAAGAATCTTAGCCAAACCTTCACTACAAATAAAATATAAATTCAACAGTTTTTATTTTATGCGTTTCACTTGCGACTGCCATCACTAAAAGCTGAATACTTCTGATGAGCTTTTTTTTTAGCGGAAGTACTTTTCTTTTGAGCATTTCTCGAATAAATGTTTTCAAAATTTAAAAGCATCGGGTACTTCGAAATCATTGATGTAATTCAATGGGGGGAAAATATATACATGCTCGTCTAGAAAAGAACGAATACGATGAAGTTGTTGTTAACTTTATACTGAACGTAAACATAACATCAAAAAGCCGTGGCCAGCAATAAACTCATCCAAGGAGCGGACGAATGGAGCTACTTTTCCGAGCAAATGCGCCGACATTCTTGGGCTCAAAACTTCTGGCCATTTAGACGAGGGGCTTTTCCT